TTCCTGCATTTTGTAATATAATTTTCTCCTCTCCCTAGTTGGCACAGTCTGTAATTGATCTGAATAACCAAATGCAGCAGAAGGACAAAGAGATGCAGATGAATGAAGCAAAGTGAGTTGGAACTGTTTTGTCTGTGTGGTTGGTATGAGACCTAGACTTCTGGTTGAGTTATTTATTAGTGTTATAATACTCTCTAGGAGTCCTAGCCATGGGCTAAAAATTCCTACATTAGGCATTGTACAAATAGCACAACGGTGGGTGGTATAGGTCCCAAAGGAGATCCTCATTGTTTTGTATATTTTGTTGCCGTTCCAGAATTGCAGAGTATTTGCAAAAGATCTCTGAACTGGAGACAGAGTGCCAGGAATTGCGTAGCAAACTGCAAGACCTTGAGCGAGCTAATCAGACACTGAAAGATGAATATGATGCTCTCCAGATCACCTTCAATGCCTTGGAGGAGAAACTGAGGAAAACTACTGAAGACAACCAGGAGCTGGTCTCACGTTGGATGGCAGAGAAAGCACAAGAAGCCAATCGTTTGAATGCAGAAAATGAAAAGGATTCAAGGTGAGACTGATGACCTTTATTTGATAAACTACTTCCCAATATATTTTTTTGAATACTTACGAGTGCATAGGATAAAACCAGATTTGGTATTCTTGCACAACACAATGAGAATCCAGAACTTTGTGTTCCTCCTTGTGGCCAACACAGAGGGATGCTTTGTGAAAACATTCCTGTCATTTAAATGAAAAAAACATGTTCTTTTGTTTCTTTTGAACAACATTTAACTATGGCCTAAAGATCATAAATCAGATAGAAACTGGGGTTATTTGCTGATATTAGATTTGGACTTCTCCTGTTCATATCGCATCTTGGTATTACTCCTAGTTTTATCCTTTTTTTGACTTAACCAATTTAAGTGTATTTTGCATTCTGCTAAAATGAGAAGCTGCCATGAAACTGAATTATGTGAACTATGTATAACTTGCATAAATAAGTTTGTACTCTTTTCCTTGCGAAATAATAATTATTCTTCTGAATTGTTTCAGTTTACTTGCCAACTAACAATACTTGGAGACCAAGAGCTATAAGACAAGTTTCATAGTACTTGTCAGTTTCGTATTGTTTTTACTAACATAATCATTGTTCTTGCACTCCAAGCAAATCCGCATTCATATGGGTCATAAAGGGCCATAGGTACACTTTGCCGTAATGCCTCACTCAGTTGATCTTGTCCTTCGCTATTCACAGTGAGAAAACTGCTATCTCGAAAAGCAGGGTAAGATTGGGGCAGTGGTCTGATTTTTTTTTTTTAATCTTATGAAGGCCATCAAAACTGTGCAGGGTAACCTCTGGAATGGGATTAAGGAAGTTTTTTAAAAAAAAACAAACTTGTTTTCCTTTTCTTAGGAGACGACAAGCCAGGCTGCAGAAGGAGCTAGCAGAAGCTGCCAAAGAACCCCTGCCTGTTGAACCGTAAGCAGTCTTGATTTACTGAATCTCCTTCATCACTTCATGCTTCAGTTTTATGCAGATGCATGATAAATAGTATGTTTGGTATTTCTAAATTTGGTGATGTAGAGGAGTGTTGAAACTTTGGTGCAAAGTCAAAAATACACAGTAATTCTCCTTACTTGAACTTCCAGAAGAAGGATTTCTGTTATGACTGAACATAGATGCTTGGACTGAAAGTCCTAAGAATGGTTCATACAGTGAATATATATTATCTCTGCATAAAAACATTTATGTTGTGCCTTTCGTCTTTAAAATAGTTCTTTAATCGTGGAACAATACACTCTTGAGGTGCCTACATTTTTAAGTGTTAGACTACAAATAGCTATGATGAAGGGTTTCCTGTAGGAACAGGTACTGAGTGAGTTAGGGTGGGTGGAAGTATATCGATCACTTCCATACTGGGAAAGATTTATTCTGTAGGAAAAAAATAGGTAAGTGTGCAGTAACTCTTCCTGGCAAGCCAGAGATAAATATCTCTAGTCTGTTGTTCTTTTCAGCAGCAGCACATGGATATTTGCTGCTGTGTTTACTCCTGGGTGGTATTTAGTCAGCTGACTGAAGTGGGCAGCTGATGGTATAGGTGCTTTGCACCAGGCTGATAAGGTTATTGGCACTTGTATTAGCCAAATCCAGAAAAAACTACACCTGCTGCATTGTGCTGGAAACAGCTGAGACAGTCCTTGGAGCACAGTGCCAGAGCGCTGTGCAGGCTTTTTCTTGATATCTTATCTTTGTATTTGCATCGTGTAATCACATTAGGTCTCTGTGCTGTGTGTCCTTGCACATTATAGAAGCAATGTATCCTCTCTGGAAGGGGGCCCATGCAAAAGTCTGGGGTATGTAGGAAGAGCTTGTATAAGGGGAATATAAGAGCTTGTAGCATTTGAAAGGAAAATTGAAACTGCAATTAACAATACAACTAGTTAGCACAATTTGCTTTGCTTTTTTTTATAAAAAAGTTTAAATGCTTCCATTCCCTTAGCTTATTGAGATGTGACTCTCCATGACAAGATTACTGCTGACCTCTGTGTCATAGGCCAGTGGACAGTCCCCAGCCAGAGGACAGACAGTCTTCCCAGCTCATAAGAATAGTGATATCCCTTTTGTCCACGTTATTTGCTGTAAATACACACAGCATATCTTAAATTATTACACTCTTCAATAAATAATGTTGCGCTGAGAGGGGAAACACACATGTAATATCTGTGGCCACTTTCCCTGTTAAGCTTCTGCTCCATTACCCAAAGCGAGACCTTCCTATCTTAGAGCTGAGCTCAGAGGCAGCTGTAGCACAACGGCTTGAATATTTCACTTCCTGTTGTGATGAAGATGATGGTGTCAGTGTTTCATAAATAATTTCATATGAGACCCTGAGAACTTAAAAAGAACCCTGTTTAAAAAAAAAAAAATCTAGAAAATAGTTGCTTCTGTAAATTACTTAAACTCCGATTCACAGATCTTTTTGATTCCTTTTTGATTTCGTAATTTTTAGAGGGTTTGCATTGTATAAATGTGCTGCTTACTGAAGGGGAAAATAGCAGCATTTCAAGGAGTGTGCCCTGGTGTTTATATTCCCTTCAAAAATATGTTAACATGGGAAGTTTTTTTTGCTACATAAAATTTGAATAGCTCAAACTTCTGATTAAAAAAAAAAATCAACAGAACTTGATACTGTTTTATTCAAATATCAGCCTGATACTTTCAATCAGAGTATGGGTTTTCTGTAGCCTTTTCATATATACTGTCCCCCAAAACCTCAGAACTTAAAAGTGCAGCTATGTTCTGAAAGGAGACATTAAAAATGGTCCTATCCTCTTAATTCTTTTGCAGCTGAGTGTATCTGATGGCAGCAATTGGTTTATTTGTACTTAAATGCTGAATTTAAACTTCCTCTTCAGTCAAATGGCATCAGGTTGATAGAGTGTGTTTAAAAATAGTTTGTCCTGCCAAATCAGCAGTGGAGGAAAAATCATCATTGAAGGAAAAAATATTAGATTGCCAGAGCCCATGATGACTAATGGAGAAAAACCTTTTAGCATCAGCTGAGTAGTTTAGCTGGATTAATGTATGGTATATGTATTGGAACCTCACGCTTCTGTTTGGTTGTGCACCAACACTTTAATGAAGTGGACCAAAACATCCCTTGTACTTAATGGAGCAGCACCTGAAGTACCACAGTATAGAAAGTATCCAGATGTCTTTAATGTGGATGAAGAAGGAAAATTCACACTCTTGTGTGCTTTTTAAATACTTCCTTGTTTTGGAACAGCAAAAAAGGTGCTGTGAAAATAGGATATCACCTATAATTGGGGTTGCAATAACTCATGCTTTTGCTGTTCTGTAACTGTTCCAGCAAATACAGTTCACTCTAGCAAAGTCTTGCTCAGATGTGAAAGGTCTTTATAATGCTGCATGTAGTGCTGCAAGCTGAAATATAATGCCTGTAGTAAAGACAATATGGAAAGGATGCCTGTCAACATAAATGTGGTGGTGGTGGGGAATCCAACCCTGTTGTCAGTGAAGAGTGTAATTGGCAGCTGGAAAGAAAAAAATTTAGGTGCTGCATGTACTTCTTTTCAGACATTGTATGTTGAATGTAGCATTTCTGGCTGTGACAGCTAGATCCGTGTTTGTGTTGTCTCAATCTACCTACATGTTACTACAGCTAAATAAACCTAGGTGTGGGTTGGGCGCGGACACTGACAGACACCGGAACAGTGTCGTCCATTTAGTTCCTATACATCAGTGAGTAGTTTCCATAGGATGCTCTGGCTGATTGAAAATGAAGTGTTTTCTGTCACTTCAGCAGGGATGATGATATTGAAGTGCTTGCAGATGAAACCTCTGACACAGCTGAGGAGACATCTCCAGTGCGAGCTGTCAGCCGAACATCCAGGTTTGTAGACCAAGAGAGTTTTGTACCACGTCACTGAGGAAGAACAAGGGGTATAAGAGAGCTGGAACAATGTTGGGAATGTTACATAGGGTTTTTACCTGCCTTTAACTGGAACACAGTTTAGCACTTCCACCAGAGCAGTATGAAACTCATGTGCTCTGTTTTCTGTTACCATGCTTTAGATACGCTGTTTTTCCTTTGCTGTTTTAATTAAGTTAGTGTCTGAAAAAATCTGTGTTTAATCTTAAAAAGAAAGGTTTAAAATCAAAATAGTCAATAACATGGGTATTACAGTGCCTGTTGTATTATGCCTCAGTTATTGTACAAGACATCAATGTGACTTTGCAAATAGCTGGGTTTGTGTTTTTTTTTTTAATCTTCACCTAGATTAAATGCATCTTTTTCTTCCCCTCAAATACTAGTGAGTGGAAAGTAAGAGGTTGTTACATGAGAGAACGGATTAATTTGGTTGAAACTTCAGACTTGGCAGACTGTTTATATCTAAACCCAGTAAATCACAGGGTGGAGGTTGAGGGGAAATTAAAGAAACTTCACTCGCAGATTATGTTCTGAGTTGTAGTTACTGGTGACTTTTGAACTGATGCCTGCCTTTGGTGTTTTCGGTCTTCGGACTGGGTCTGCAGGGGAGGGAGTCTTTCCAGAGACTTGTTGCTGTGAAATGTATTTGTATTGATCTTTCTGTGGAGAAGCTATTCACAAGGTTTAAACCTGTCCTCCCCTCCTTCAGTAAGCGACTCTCCCAGCCAGCTGGAGGCCTTCTGGACTCTATCAGTAATATCTTTGGGTAGGTTAGAACACTTTCACCTCTTTGTTTTGTATATTGGTTTCAATGTACACCAAAATCTTGGTGATGCAGGGAATACGAACAAATAACTTCAGCCTTTCTTCTAGCTTCTGCCTTTTTTTCTTTTTTGTTCTCCTCAACTTCCTGTTTCTTCCATCTTGCCGTGTGCTGACCTCTGACCTTTCCCTCCAGTCTGTCTGAGTCTCCCCTTTTGGGACATCAATCTTCTGATGCTGCCAGGTGAAAACATTATCCGCTCTTAGTCCAGCATGTGAATGTATTCCATTGAAGTAACATGGAACCCAGCTGTGTTATCCTGATTAGATTTCAGATGTTGATAACACTGGTTAGAAACTGTCTACAGTTAGAGAGGCAATGAGCCCCTCTGTGCGGAGAGAATACATGGGGTTTGCTCTTGCTTTCAACTGCACTTTGCTCCTTTAATAGGGTGATTTAAAATAAGTTGTTGGGTTCTGTGCTTAGTATCCAGAGTGGAGCCAATCCTTCTAAGAAAAGCTCTGCATTAGATGCACAGTCTTGGCTTAAGTGGTGCAGCCCGAGCTTTTGAATGGAGCATTTTGCTGCCTGGGATGTAGCGCTGCAATGGTATTGAGTCTCCCCTAGCCATAGTGACGGACTTGCAGTCTCTCCAGCTGAACTCAGCTGCAGTCATTCCTATGTTTCTCTTTCCTATTAAAAAACAAATGATTGCTCGAAAATGAGGTCAGTAATCAGTTCAGGTAACTTATCTGGCGTACTATGAAATCTCTAAAGCCACAAGTGGATGTAGTGTTACATGACAAATGTAATTTTTGAAAGATGGGATAAAAGAAAGTGGAAAAACTCCTTCCCCCATTTTTTAATCACTGTACAGTGTAGTTAAGTGACAGGTACAGATCTGGATGAACACAAGAGAAACAGCGTTCACTTCTCATTTTAAAATATTTCTGCTTTGTTTCGTCTCAGGAGGCGTTCTTTGTCCTCATTCCCTGCTCCCCAGGATAATATAGAGCCACATCCAGGTGCCAGTAAAGAAGTGAGAGTGCCCACTACTGCCATATGTGTCTTTGTAAGTATAGAAAGAATTACCAACTTTTACCATTCCCTTTACTGTATTTGGAGGAAGTGAACCCTATCTGTGTGGGAAGTGATCTGAAACTTTCTATTAACATTGCCAAACAAGAAGGAATTCTTGATTTAGTAGCATAGTTCATCACATTTAATTCTTAGCCCAAATGCTTCTCAGAGCCAGTGTGCTTGATGTCTGTCTTGCTGAGGTCAATGATGACTAGTAAAAGGTCTGAGGGCACAGGGGAATTACACTCCATTACCCTCTTGGCTCCCAGCAGTCCCTGTTCTGTCATGCCGTAGTAGGGCTATGACTGAGGAAAAGATTGCTGACAGTTTGGGATTAATTCAGTTCCAGTTCTCCACAGTGAAGGGAGTTGTGGCACTGGATGTCATCCAACAGAACTGGTTAAGAGGAGCTTGTGGTAGTGGGGTGTCTTCATTTGTTGTGTGTGATCTAAAGTTTTCAAGCTGAGACCTCCTTTATGTGTTGTTTTGGCCTCACAAGGCCAAACTTAAACTTCTGTGAAGGGCATCGCCTTCTGAATGAAAGATATCGTGGTACATTGTCTTGTAACGCAGCTACTTGTTTTAACATTCCTCTTGAGCTTTCTCAGGCACTCCAAATCTGGATATGAATATTTCACAGATCTGAAACTACTTCTGTTTTTCACCCAGACTAACAGAGTGGCTCACTGCAGCATGGAGGCTTGTGTATTCCTAGCCTGCCCTGTCACCATCTTCTCTAGTGGCTGTCGTAGGGTGGAGGCAGTGGCAATGTTACCTGAAGTGAGAACAGGGTCATAACTTAAGTGACAGCCTGGCTTGAATAGGGAGCATCAGAGGAGGTATTCATGGCTTCGGTATGTGTTGTGACATCTCCCCTCCTCTAACTATGTACAGCAAGCACAGTTGATCAACAGATGTCAATCCTGGCTAATTTAATGATAAAAGGTATTATGAAGCTATATATGTGAGGTTTTCAAGAGCCATGTGAGAGCTTATGTTGTTTTCGCCTTTCACTTGATCTTCTGTAATGTCATCTGAACTTCCAAGAGCAGCGCAGCCTGTCTTCCCAATATGGAGGGGCAAACCACAGTAGATGATGCTGACCCCTAGTCTTGGAAATGTGGGGAGTGCTGCCCCATTCCCAATTCCCCATCTTGCAGCAGGAGTAGGAACAGCTGCATAGTAAGCCTGTCAGACTGTGGCAGTATGGAGGTGATGTATGGTTAGCACTGCAATATTAGAAGGAAAAAGTCCCACCTCATTTCATGGGAATCCATATGTTCCTTCTGGAGATATGTGTTGTGTTCTAGCTCGTGTTTAGAGCCCAGGCAGGGTGTGAGGACGTGTCCAGTTCCAGCAGAACATTCCAGGAATGAACTGGCGCTCTGTGCCAGAGGTTTGGCAGGTACAGGGAGCGTCTGGGCTTCCTTCTGGAGAGATGAGTCGAACAGGCTTAGGAAGGAGCAGAAGGTAGTCACTTCATTGAGCATGGTTTCTAGGCAAGACCTTTGTCCAGTTTTGTTCTGAATGGCTCTTCCACACTTGCAGAAAGATCAGATTTGAAGTGTGATGACCCTTAAATATGAGCTGGCAGACAACTGTTCAAGCAACAAGTACCAGAAAAATAAAAGTTTCCAGAAAAACTGCTTTCAAAAGAGCAGTTAGTGAAAATACTTAAAAAAGAATGCAGGAAATGAATTAAGAATGTGGTACTAATAGTGTGTAGGTAAGTAGTATAAAGACATGAAATTAACAGGGGAGAAAAAAGGAAGGAATTTTTAAATTCTCAGAGGTTTTAAAAGGTTAAGAATCACTATTAAGTAGCCAACTCAAGCTTCAAAACATTAAGCTGTGAGAAAGCAGAGATCACTGCATGTGCAGATAGGAACCACAGTTTAAGCCCAGGTTCTCAGTGAGAGAAGGTGCTGTTCCAAGTCACAATTGCGCTGGTACTACTTCATCACCAATATAGAGTAGCATTATCACAATACAGTAAATGAATGCAGTTAATCTGTTACGCTGTTTTCTAGCAGACTTTCAGGCCTGACTTGAGTGTTCTGTGGTTGCATGAACTGATTGGATGATGTTCCATGGCTGGCTCTAAATGGAGGAATGAAAAGTTAGTTTCCTTCTACAGGATATCACCTGTTAATGTTTTCTGTCCTTTCCTTAATGTTTTTCTGGTGTAACTTAAAAGCTTGAATGTATAAAGCCTAAACTTTTGAAGTATTGTAGGGCTCCTGGCAGTTTACTATGACTGTTGATTCCTTGCTAGTGTTTTTCTTTATATGCTTTTGGTTTTTTCCTTTAGAGAAGGATCATCCTTTTTGCTTGCTCTGTACACCATCAACTGTAGTAGAGTTTCAGTCTGTGGCTTTGTTTTCTATGTAGCGCTGAAAGTTCTACAGCTGTGGTTCTGTATAACCTTTAAGTACTATACCTTTCTAATCTGTGAGTTTTGGCTCTATCCTAATTCCGATTTGGGTGGCTGTTCTGTTCCTTCCACTCCTCAGGATGCACACGATGGGGAGGTGAATGCAGTGCAGTTCAGCCCTGGCTCCCGGTTACTAGCAACAGGAGGCATGGACCGGAGGGTTAAGCTTTGGGAAGTCTTGGGAGGTAAACTTTTTTGCTTTGGGGTATGGTGGGATGCTGAACAAACTCATATTATAGTTTACTTTGTGTTGGCTTCTGTTCTAATCTATTGCTTAAGTTTTGTTCGTCTTTCTCTGTGCAGATAGGTGTGAGCCCAAAGGTTCCCTCTCTGGTAGTAATGCTGGGATTACAAGCATAGAATTTGATAGTGCTGTGAGTATCTGTGCAATATTCGCTGTTTGTGATTGGGAATAAATTAATTGAATTATGTTGTGCTCTATCAATTTCCATTCTAACACTTTGAAAAGTTACCTAAGAAATGAGTTAAAATACTGCAGAGAGTAACTGCAAGTAGTTAACAGTTTTACAAAGGAACTTTATTTGATATGCTGCAGTCTATAATTCTCATCTTTGCTTTACAAATCAGAAGATGATGTGCAGCTCAGACATTGGCTGTTATGGGCTATTATGATAAAATTACATTAAAATATACTCTGCTTTGTCTAAAGTAGGAAATTAGTCTTTACCTTCCCATTAAAGCTGGTATAACAGCACAAAAGAAGCAAATATACTGAAGCTTTATTTCTGTGAAGCTTATTTCCGTAACTGCTCTGCTGAGGTCTGTGATGAATAGTAAAAGGTCTGATTATCCTATGACTTGCACTTCCATGACCTTTTCTCCCAGCAATTTCTCACTGGTCATGGCACAGTAATGGTGTGGCTGGCAGAGTGTTTGCTGACAGCTTGTGATGTGTTCAGTTCATGTTAACCTGAAGTATCGGAGACATGACTGTGATCAGCATCCAACAGTCCTACTTGAAGGAGTTGGGGGTCTTGGATTGTTACAACTGGACATGTGATCTGACTTTTCTGCTGAGACCTCTCCCGTAACACAATACTCTACTGCATAGACAGTAGACCAAAGCTGACACTTCTTCCATTTGACGATTCTATGTGCGAAACTATTGATACAGACCCAAAAGGATCCTTCCTTTGGACACGGACGAGCTCATTAGAGATTTGCTATCACTGTTAATCTGCAGGAGAATCTAGTTCTGATTTTTTGCAAGTTGCTTGAACACATTTGAGGTGAGAACTGCCTGAGGTGAGATGCTAATGGGCTCTAAAGGATTTAGGAGACAGGAGTGCAAACATGAATCTTATGGTGACCATTCTCCATCATGGATGACTTGGAGGAGCCCAAAGCCATGAGCAAGTCAATTTATCTCTCCATTTACAGATGTAGTTTTTGGAATCTTAGTTATAAATGCTAGAATTGTAATGCAAATTGCAAGAATTGGACGAATTCCACTCTGAGACCTACCTAAGCTGTAGGGGTAGATGATGCAGAGGTTTTTCCCTGTGAAAAATAAAAAAAGGGACCCCCCCCCCCACAATAGACAAGGGTAAACTAGTACCCAGTTCCTCACTGCAGCATCTGGGGGCAGAAAGGGAAGGAGGATGTCCTTTCTGATCTGGTTATTATTACTCCTTTTATCTGTTGTTATGAGTCTACGAATCACTGTCACATTTTGGTGAGAAGAAAAAGCCATAGCCTTTTTGAGAGCTGTTATGCTAGCTTTCGTTACTGGTATGTGCTACTGACTTTTTTGTTTTGATTTTGTGTTTGGTTTTTTTTTCCCTTGGCAATGCAGTACTAATATGGTTTTAATGATTTATTGGAAATACTTTTGAGTTTAATTTGCATATCGACTTGCAGAAGTAGTTTTAAATTTATCTTGTGTTCACAGGGTTCTTACCTCTTAGCAGCTTCAAATGACTTTGCCAGTAGAATCTGGACAGTTGATGACAATCGATTACGGGTGAGTCTTTTGAAGGCAAAGCAGTGCCCAGGCTGCTTATGTCCTCTATTTCCAGTTTTGTCTAATGGGGACACAGCAATCTTGAAAGTTGAGCATTTACAAACACTTTCAATAATTCATTTTGTTAAGAGGATCTTTATTTCTCTTAAGGATCTTCACAGGAAGACCTAAAATACAGTATTGGGATCTGCACAGCCTTGCAGGAAGTTTCAGTTACTGCAGATTTTCACAATACAGCCCCACCCCGCTAGCAAAACTTTGCCGTGTAAACCCAATACACTTTTGCATCCCCCTCTGGAGATTTAAATGCTTCTGATAGTATATGGAGAACCATTTCAATGTTTTAGCCTCAATCCAAGGAGAGGTCTGCTGAAGAAGTGTTTGCAGAAGGTGGGGCGATGGTGGGGGAGGGAAGGTGTCTGTTTTAAGTCAGGAGCAGCATTCTTGAAAAGGAGTCCTTTGCCTAGCTGTTAAAGGCAGCAAGCCTAAAAGTGCTTTATTCTCGTTGTCTTTTGAAAGATTCCTCCTCTCCTCCCAACTCCTCTGTACTCACGTTCTTCTCCAAGTGCTTGCTCTAGTTTAAAGAAAGATTCACCTCTGACCAAAATAAAAGTTTCTTTTCAGTTTTCCAAGCGTTTTTTTTAATTGTCATTCCTACGTACACTTTTTCTTCAATTTTTTGTTTTAGGAAGATACTACTTCGTTCTGAATCTTCTGACATTTCACATGTCAGTTATAAGCTACAGTTGCTTGTAATTCACTGGGTAGTTCTCAGCGTGGAGATGTCAGGTCTCAGTTAAAGTGAAGAATATCGGTTCTTTTGCAGCTTCTGTTTGGCTACAAAACCTACTATTGGATGTCAGTTGTAGTGAAAAAAGTTTAGCAGGCTATAGATAACTCACTACAAGAAGTTAGTTATCCCTTCAAACATCCATCTGGCTTCACGTTATCTTCCTGTAATTTTTTGATGTCCTTGGTGACTAGCAACTTTGGGCAAGTGTATTCATTGTTTGCTGAGATAATAGTGCATTCTTTGTTTTGAGTGTGAGTGGTACAGATTTTGTCATGGCTTGCACGTGAGCAGGAGGCAGTGAAGCTGAAATCATGGTAAATGATAACCAAACTCCTTCCTTAAATGCAAATACCTATACATAATGACTATGCAGCAAGAACAGAGATGCAGTGAAAGTTTAGATCCTTTCTGGGGTTTGTGTCCCTTCTTAAGACTAAGTAGTCTTTATGGGATGATCTATTCTTTCAGAGTTTGTGTTGTATTTTGTAAGCCCTGGTTGCTTTGTGTAATTTGATAGTCCTTTGAGTATTTAAAAAAAAAATAACTGTACAACAAAGATTTCTCTCTTGTTTTTCCCAATTCTTACTTTAGTCGTTCATTATCTGTTTTGTGATTTAGTATGTAAATGTTCAGTAGTTTGAAGTGAATGGGGTTCATATTCTTCTCAGCCCCACAGAGCTTCCCCCTGCAATGGATGAAAACAAAAGCAGTTACAGAAACTGCTGCAGGTTTCTGAAATCTCTGCTTGTCTTGGCTTTCAGGCTTGAAAATGTAACAACAGTGGAGACTAGATACCCTGTGGTATCCATGAGAGAAGCTCATTGTAAAAACCTGAAGGCATGATTTCAATTTTCAGCATGCTTTAACCCTTCCCCTCATCTCTCCTGCAAGGCTGTGTTGCAGTTACCATTTGTCCATGAAATGTAAGTGTATGGAGTGTTGAGGAAAGGAGCTTGCGGGTTCCCCGAGTAGCTAGAGAAGCTGCAGCCAAAGGTGACCTGTGTCTCCCAGCATCAGGCTGAACTCTGTGGTACTTAACGCTCCTACTTGGTGATAATCTCTGTTTAACTAGAATAGGTGCTTTTTTCTCCAAGCAATGCAGTAGATGTGCAAATTATGATTTAAAATTGTCTCTGTTAAGTTGTTAAATAGCAGAACTAGCAGGCTGCAAGGAAACTGAGCAAGTGGAACTGTGCAATTTTACCATGTAAATCTCTCTTCCTCAGCACACCCTGACAGGTCACAGTGGTAAAGTTCTGTCAGCCAAGTTCTTGCTGGACAATGCACGCATTGTTTCGGGAAGTCATGACCGGACCCTCAAGCTCTGGGACCTCCGCAGCAAAGTTTGTAAGGAAACCAAACTTCTGTCTTTAATGCATGTTCTGTGCTTCTACTGAATGTAAATGGAAGTCTGAATCAGCCAGATTATTTCGTCTTCTTGCTAGTCTAAAAAAGCAAAAACTAGCAGCCATCTTCTGTTTTGATTCAAGAAATCAGATTCTTTCTGCCTGTTACCTGAAATAAGAATAAGAAATCATGTGTGTGCAGGAAACACTGTTAATGCTATTAACAGCAACTGTGTTCTGTGAGCATTCTTTGTTTACCAGTCTGGGGGTGGGTATTTTAGTCTTCCACTAAAAACTTGGAGCCAGGTCAGAGTGTTTAACCCTGAGGTGGATGGAAATGTCTCTTGGAAATGTACCAAAAATTTCAACATCTCAAATGAAGGAAGTGCTAGCATACAGATTTTGGGGGGGAGAAATGCCTTATTTCCTTGGCTTTTCTCCTATTGATGGTTCTTAGACCTGTTTGCACTGAGAGAGAAGTTGCGATTCAAGGTTACCTTGATACCTGAACTGCAAACATAGGTCGAGGAGACAGTTTCATGTTGCTTAACAGTAGCAAATCATAGCTGTCTAAATACAAAGTGGAAGTAAAGCAGCTGTCATGGGAGCATTTGAAGGGATATTAGCCACAGCAAAGGAGATTGAGAAGGGCAGAGAGGTTGTTGACGACTTAAACTCTGTCTTAGAATAATCCTGACTTGTCTGCCCTGTGGCACTACTTGGACACTGTTCTGTGTGGCCACTGTGTGTGTGGTATACTGATTATTTTCTGTTTTTGTTTTCATCAGTTTGCACAGTATGAATTTCAGTGTGTCACTATTGGTTTATCCTTTTTAGGTATAAAAACAGTGTTTGCAGGATCTAGCTGCAATGACATCGTATGTACTGAGCAATGTGTCATGAGTGGACACTTTGATAAGAAAATTCGTTTCTGGGACATCAGGTAAAACTATTGTAAGAGAGCTTATAGTGTAGGTATAGTTACGGGATTGCTGTCAGAGTATAATCTGAACTAGGGAACTCCCTGAGCTTGGAAGCTGATGAGACTGTTTTAAGAGCTGCAGAAGGCCATTGAAAGAGACTTTTGTTACTACTTCTATTACTGTTCAGTATTACTGTTCAGTTTTTGGGGGTTGGGATTTTTTGGGGATGCCTTTTTTCTTTGGGTTTTTTTTTCCTGAAAAGGCAGTCTGCTTTCTTGTAAATATTTTGCATTGGTCAGTACTTGCCATTCTAGATCTTACCTAGTTTTTCAAAGGGTAGGGTTGTGAGGAAAGTAGTATCTGACTATTGGCTGGAAATATTATCCACAAAGTGAGATCTAGCTTCGGAACGAATCAAAATGTGAGAATAAACCAGTAATCCTTTTTCTCCTCTTCTTCCAACAAGTCAAAGTTTTGATCCAGTGGTTTGGCTTCTGGACCCTGGTTTACTCTTTCCTTTTTCTTTCTCTCTTCTTCTTTCCTTTCTGTCTTTAGGACTGAAAGCATAGTAAAAGAACTGGAGCTGCTTGGAAGAATCACAGCTCTCGACCTGAACTCAGAGCGAACAGAGCTTTTGACCTGTTCCCGTGATGATCTACTAAAGATCATTGATCTGCGGGTTGGTGCTGTCAAGCAGACATTCAGGTGAGTGTGTGCTCCACAAGAACATTTGGAATTTCAGAACTTTGGATTGCGGATTGCCCTCGGTGTTGGAGTGTGTTTCAGTATCTTCATGCAGAGAGCAGTCTCCCAACTTTTTTCCTGCATGGGTAGCAAAGTTCTCTAGAGTCTAACAGCACAGATCTGCTCTGGTGGATCTTTTCATTTACCTCTTTAAAGAAGATAGCTTGGCTTAGAAGTCTTTGGCCTAAAGGAAAGCATTTCCTCAGATGGGGTTGAGGGGAGGTGGTATGAGAAATGCAAATTGTGATAAAGGGGTACCAGAGCTTATTCTGAACCATGTAGAAATCCTTGCCATGCTCTTTAGTGAGAACCTGGAAGTCCATCTTCTTACAAATGAATTTTAGAGTTATCTGATTCTGCCTTTTCAGTGCCCAGGGATTCAAATGTGGCTCTGACTGGACGAGAGTTGTGTTCAGGTAAGGTCAGATATAAGCAAGACATCTGATAAGTCTTTCCCCAGCAGCAGTGAGTGATTTGTGATGCTTGGTTGTATTTTCCTCATTTACAGCTAGAAAAACTGAGGCAGGGTTTGTGATTTGTCCAAGGTTACTTCTTGGTCAAGACAAAGTATGTCTGTAGATGTTGATGCAATGTCTTTGAAACTTTCTGGTTTCAAAGCACTTTCACCTCTTAGTGTTAGCAGCTGGTAACACATGACTGTAAAAGACTGTTTAATACTGAGTTTCTTGCTTAGGAAGTTGAGGGTAGAATGATGGTTTGTGCCGATAAATTGCTGACTTGAAAATTGTTCTCTGCCTTCTGCACCTTCTCTGATCTCATAGCCCTGACGGTAACTATGTGGCTGCTGGTTCAGCTGATGGGGCCCTCTACATTTGGAATGTGCTCACTGGGAAATTGGAGAGGACACTTGCAAAGCATCATAGGTGAGAGGGGAAGCTGGCTGTATAATCAGAAGTGGGGATCTGGGTTATGAATCTTGCTGAGTTCTGAAAGAATTGTAGTTGCACAGCTTTGTGACTTATATTGGTGTGCAAGAATTTTTAATATTCATGGATTCGTGGCAGTATTCTCTAGACTGAACTAAGGTTAGGTTTGTTATTGTTCCATTTCTTAAACTGAGATACGATTCTAATAAAGTACACTTTTAATGTATTCTGAAGAAACTGTATCTCTCTTAGGCTTATTAAAAGTAGGGGTCTCCTGAGAGCTGGGAATGAAACCGCTTTTTCTTTGATAGTCAGAGTACTGTAATATTTCATTCCAATGTTAAGTGCTGTTGTAGACTTCAGGTTTTTTGTAAACTTATACCTGGCTTCCATTTCAGTTCTTCTATCAATGCAGTTGCGTGGTCACCAGCAGGTGCCCACGTGGTGAGTGTGGACAAAGGAAACAAGGCTGTCCTGTGGTCTGAGTTTTGACTGGATGGAGGGTGAAAGGCGGAGCATCCAGTACCTCTGTGGTGGTGCTGATCCGCGGCTGAACAGAATGGAGACCCAAGCCCAGATTCATCCTGAGCGGGGATATTAACATGCGCATGGGCTTCACTTTCCAGAGGAGAGTTCTAAAGCAATGGAGAAGGAGCCTGAGTCAGAGACTTCTTACAGCCATAACTGCACTGTGGCACTCGGACTCAGCAAGGGATTAGCTGTTCTGGATGGAGAATGCTACTTAGTCATGCCTTTACATGCAGTATCTATGCACCAAGTGGAGCTGAAGATACTAGAGGGATTCCTCACCAGACAGCTGTGCCAAATACCCTGTCACGCAAATGTATCTACAGCACTTCTGAGTTGGAAATGTTGGAAAGAAGTTACTGTGTCTGCTGACATTATACATGTCCTGTCTCCTGTGTTCTGTTCTTGTAGCCTAGTTCAGGCATGGGGTGAGAAGATCCTGAAATACGGACAGGTCCTAGGCAGTCTGAATGTTGGAACAGCTTTTAAAGAGTCTCCTGTGGCTCTGGCAGCTCTGCCTTTGAGTTACCGGCTCAATTCAGATCTGCTCTGATCCTGACACAGGTTTTGCAGCACTCATGTGAACTCTTTGTATCCGTTTCACCTGTCCGTAAGGAAATGGTCTGTTCTTCAGGACTTCTTGCATCCTTTTGTTGAAATGCCCTTCAGCAGCTTGGGTATCACAAAATAGGAGATTTTTAATCTTTTTATTCCACAGGCAATTTGGTTACTGGGTGTGAGGAGAGAGAAGTTCAACTTCTGCTGTGCTGCTGTGATAAGGAATGTAGTCATACTGTGACTTCAGTACCAGAATATAGATGTTTGGTCCTTTTTTCTGTTCATCCGTCCTGTCCTGGCGGCTGTCAGTAGAACACAGGGGAGCAGTGGGATTAAATCCCAAATCCATTCTTTTGGTGCTGGCAATTCCAGGCCACTTGCCCCCTTCTTGAGCACATGTGCAATATTCCTGTTTGCGCTGGAGCCCTCTCGTGCTACGGACTAGTGTCTTGTCTCTGTCCCTGTTGAAGCATCCAAAACCATGATGAGGCAGGGTGTGAGCTACCTGGCATAGCTTCATCCAGCCAAACCTTTCCACATAGTCTGGGCCTCAAGGCAAGCCACCAGCGTTTTATCGCCTTTTAATTTGCACTTTATTTTCTTCTTTCCTGATAGTGTTTTACTAAGGAAGTGTGTTCTTCGGAGGGGCTGGATAAGGAGGCAGCTGCTGTAACAGGCATCTCTCTAACCTAGCCTTTTGTTCAGACACTTTCTGCAGAGGGGAATTAGAGTGTATGGGGCAAAGTTTTTATTTATTCAGCTGCCCATAAGAACTTGATTGTAAATAAACCTGTGTTCTGCTTTTAAGACCCCACAACGCTCCAATTCATTTATTTGTGTGTCTGTGTGCGAGATCTTGTTCTGAATGAGCAAAGAGGGGAACCTGAAATGTGTTTTTCTGTGCTACATTTTCCTGATGAATTGTAGATTTGGGTTTAGATGCATTGTGGGATTTGGTGTAGAGGGGGAAAGAGGATAATGCTCTTAAGTTGAAGCCGGACATCCTGCAGATACAGACTGGTCTTGTCCTGTCTTGGGAATACTGCCTTGAGACTGAAGGAAGTCCTACCATGTTGAACAAGCGCCTCTGTCCTTGAAAGGCTGATGTTTTCCTGGATGTTGTGGATAAATTACTGAATTGAGGAAACTACTATCTGTATTTCAGACACCACTGAAAGTAGAAAGCTTTTTCTTCTGTGATACTTTGACTGGTACCTTGATAAATTTTGGCCAGTAATAGAAATTGCATGTTTCTTTAAAAACAGTAAAACCCTTGTTGGAAATAATGCTCTGGTTCCTACTTCAGAGTAATGAAGCAAAGCCTTCTGTCATTTAAAGTACAAACAGCATATGTAACTAAGAGCTGTCACTGACCACTCTCCAGTTTTCATAAGGAAAAAAAAGCCTGCTGTCCAGCTCTTGGAAGCTGTAACTCCAGCAAAAATGAAAAGATTAAATCTGGCATTCTGAAGCCTTTCTTAAGGCAAGATATTTTTTCTTCTGCCTGTTGTGTGGCAGAAGGTCCTTGAAAAGGCACCTACCAAGAGTCTAGGTGACCTTGGTTACTGTGGAAAAGCAGATCACTAAATGACAAGTCAGCATGATGAAAGATTATTGGGAGATTAATAAAAACTCTGCAGGCTCTGCTGAGGAGGATCAGAATGGGTTTAGGTTGTTTATTTAGGCTGCTATACTTGTGTTTTTCTACAATATTGACACAGATTCTTACACAAAGGGCTTTGTTTTTCCTGTTGATGCTGTTACAAAGTAGGTTGTTAATACTTGAGGATAATGGCTAGCTAGCTAAGTCCTTAAGCATTTTAAATGAAAATTCCTTAAGGTCAAGGTATCTAGGAATTTTAGTGACCAATTTTACCTTTTTCTATGGCTTATTTCTCTTGCCCCTTTTTCTGCTTCACCTTGCAGAGGGAAGAAGAGAAAAATGAAGGTACCTGCTGTGTGGAGGTTGCTATCGCACTGTTTCTCTGCTAAAGGTGGAGCTGCCCTTCAAGTGGTTTTGGGGGGTGGGTGGGCATCTTTCTCCAGACATAAAGGTGCGTTAGGAAGCATGTGTTACGGAAAAGCTGCTTCCAAGCTCCCCTGAAGATGTTTGCACGTGTACCCCCACCTCGCAGGCCCTCAGAGTAGCAGCAGGTGTCACAGGAATGCTTGTTCCTCTCCTGAAGGACTAACAACTCTGCAGTGGTAGCAGCACCAACTCTTAACAATCAGCTTTCTCCTTTTTGATTTTTGTACTGTGTGACTGAATAGAACGTGTTGATTTTGTGGGTTAATTTCTGGGGTTTCTTCCCTAATTCCTACAATCGGAATCTGGCTTTCCTTCAGGAACACAGGCACATGTGAACTGCTGTGTTTAGGGCTGGTTGGTGTTTGAAGTTGATTGAACAGAGTAGTGATTAAGCTCTCCAAATAATCCACCTCCAGTTAATAAAATGTTGCTGGAATTTGGAAAACACTGAAAGAGCTGAGGAACACTGGTTCTGTGTTAATTTTTAATAATTTGTGTAACCAGGCCACTATATTTGGGCAAATGTTGGTGATTGATTGCAAAAAAGCGAGCTTGATTTGTGACTGCAAGATTATCCGAGATGGTGGGTGCTGTTCAGGCTGGCAGGTGGAGGGGCCATCATGTGATCCTTCTACTCAAAGTAACAGATGCAGCCCAGAGGAAAGCTACAGCTGTTTATGCAGCTTGCAAGCCAAAAATTACACATATTGTTGTGTGTAATATCAAGGCCAAATTCATGGCAGGGGGAAGCTATTCTTGGGATGTTCATGAACAGAAAAGCTAAACTGATTGAAATCTCTCTTTGAATGTCTTACATCTTGAATGTTGTGTCTCACTTTATAAGTAAATTAAGGAGGGGAGGTGTACCAGCTAGCAACATACTGTTTTGTGTCAGCATGCCAATGGGATGTTGGTGGAGCAATAATGAGCTGCTTTGTGATTATGAGAATAATACATTGTTCTCAGTGTTTGGTAGCCCTTCATAATGGTATCTATTTAGAGAGACTTGGTTTGGTGTTTTATAAACTCCCTTTTTCATAAATGGCTCTTGTCTATTGAGCTTCTTAGCAGGCTGGATGGCGTGCACCCCTAGGAAGGAGAAGATAGAGAAAGAACTTTAGAATAAAGCTGCTTTCAGTAACCATGTCCTATGTAAGTCTGTAGTCTTTACAAAGCATGTGAGTATGACATTGTAGACCTCTTCGTTGACAATCTGAGCTTCCTTAGGTAATGCTTTTTCTTGCTGACTTAACTACTTTCCAGTTGAATCTTAGCCCAGGTACAATATTTGCTCTTGGAGAAGGATTAATTCTTGCAATCCTGGATGGACGCAACTATAGACGGGCTTTCAAATCCCCTACAAATTGTCTTCCTTGTTTGCTAAGGGGTTAGTGATTCCCTCTGGTAGATGTGAAGACACATAGGACACGGCTGCGTGGAAAATTCATCTTTCTTCAGTGCTTTAGGAGTTCACGTCTTTGTCCCGTGGCAGCTCCCGTGGCATTTGGAACACAGCAAGGTATTTAATGTTATTTGCTGATTTGTTTATTTGGGTCTACTGTATATGTCCATCAGCTACTATTCTGGACTTGGAAAACCTGCCTATACTTCATAAAAATAGAAATTCTGAAACGTGTGTAAAGTCTGTCTCTAATCTCTACGTTTTTTCCAGCTTTCTAAGAAGGGAAGTATTTCCTTTTTCCACAGTGTGTTGTGTGCAAATAGACCCTAGAAACTGTTTCTACTCTTGAAACAGTTTTAAAATGGGAAAGCAAGCAGAAGAATAAAATGGAAGCAAACTGCAAGGACGGTTATACACTGTCAGGCCAACGGTCTGTCCAACACTGTGTACTCGTTCACACAGGTCCAACAGGGAGAAGTGCAAGAAAGAGCATGTGTAGCATTGTCCTTTCCTGAGGCTGCTCCTCAGCTTCAGAGTGTTAACGGGGTTAAGGTTGCACCTGGATCATCCTGTCCAACATCTGCCAAAAGCATTTTCCCTGTGAACGTGTCTAATCCTGTGTATCAAATCGTACTGGTGATTTCCAGAGCCTTCTGCAGCAACACACTGTATTTGAATGTTGTGTTACATGAAGTGCTTCACTTTATTTTGAAGTTGCTGTCTGATCACTTAACTAGATGCTGCTATTTCATGGCTTAGGACAAAGTGAAAAACTAGTCTCTCTCCACTTTGTACCACTCAGGCTTTCTGGACACTTCTCTCTCTGGGTATCTCTTTGGTCCTTTTGGTCCTCTTCCCCCACCCACCCCAAAGAATCTTATTCCATCTTTTTTTCCCTCGGCTACAAGCTCTTCCCTACTCCTGGTTATACTTGTTACCTTTCTGGGCAGGTAGTTGGACTGTATATTACTAAGGTCTGTTCTGTTTTGAGTTCAGTGGTGCCCTGCCAGTGATGAGTTGCATTTGGAAATTTGATCTAGGAAAATACAGTAGGACAGATGAGTTTTCGTTTTGAGTTTGATCTGACTCCTTACCAATATGTACCACCTTTCTAGGGCTTAGACTGAGCATACCATATCCCAGATGTGGACATTTAAGGGGTTCTGGAATGGTATAAATGGCATTCTCTGTGTTCTTAATTTATTTCCTAATAACGTCTCTGCTTGTGTCAAGGCATTCTTCCTAAGCGATACCAAGTATAACTGTGTGTCAGACTATAGTTGTATTTTCTTTGAGTGCAATATTTTTCACTTACTGTTACAGAATATACGGTATTTCATAACCAGTCTGCATCACAAAGCACTCCTCCAGCTTAACGTAGACAGCTTTATTTTGGAAATCCAGAACAGCTTTGTGTCTGTAGGTGGGCTATTCATTCCTTATTTAGGCTTCTTTCCATTCATTCAAGGAATGTCCTGGGACAAATGACAGTGTGCTGTTGTGTGGTAAATACTTGCAGTAGTAAAACAAAACCCCCCCGAACAATCCAAACCCTAAAAGTAGCCAAAC